TACAAAAATTAGCTATGATCTAAAAAGGAAACAGCACAGCAAAGTCAAATTTTGTTTATCAACGGAATGCATGTCTCATGAAGGTTTTCAGTGTCTGTTTGCAAATTCAAACTGTTCTTCTGTTTTTTAATGTTAATCATTTCAGACACAATGCGCTTCCTGTAATTAGATTCTTCATCAAGAACCTCTACTTCATTCCATCGAAAGTCATGGCCGTGCTGTAACCTATGCTCAGTAATCACTGAACGCGTTGTCGTGTTCCGTTTAATATGATTACGATGTTCGGAAATTCTCGTTTTTAATTGTCTACTTGTTTGGCCGACGTAAGATGCATCGCAATCGTTACATGAAATTTTATAAACCACGTTGCTTCTAGAGTCTTTTGAAAGGGCATCTTTTTGAACTTTAACATATTTACTCATTTTATTCGGGCTACGAAACGAAACTCTGATATCATTATTATGAAATCTTTTAAATTTTTCTGTATGACACGGAACAAAAGGCACAGTAAGCAAAGAGACAGACCTTGAATTGTTTTGAGTATTAGTAGGTTGGTCATTGACAATAAATTTATTTTTTACCAAATATTTTAACCGTTGATTAATAGTATCAAAAATGAAATTTAGGGGATAATCATTATCTAGTAAAATACTAATAATGAAGTTAAAATTCTTATAATGAAAACAAAAATCCGACAAAAAAAAGGCTCTATCAACTAAAGAAAAAACTACCTCTCTTCTGAGACAGTGGGTGGTTAGGTAGGAAATTCAAAAATCTACCCGAAAAAGTAGGCTTATGGAACCAGTCAAAAATTATAGTCTATTATCCCTATTAATCAGAGAAACGTCTAGAAACTCCAGTCTATCACCTCCAATTTCAACAGTAAATTGGAGACGAGGATGAAATTCATTAAATTTGCACAATAATAAGTTAATATCCGACACATCAACAGCCAAACAAACATCATCCACGTATCTATAATAAAAAGGAAGTTCTCTGTTAAACGACAACAACGCTAATGACTCGAGCCTCCTCATAACCAAATCCGCCACAATAGGTGATAATGGTGAACCCATGGGTGTTCACACATAAGCAAAACATTGCTTATAAACTTCTTATCAAACACGAAGTATGTAGAATTTAAAACAAGGTGTATAGACAAAATTTGATAAACAAAATTTGACTTTGCTGTTGATAAACAAAATTTGACTTTGCTGTGCTGTTTCCTTTTTAGATCATAGCTAATTTTTGTATCGTGCAGACGTGTTAATTTCTGTCTTCGACAATCTTGACAGCCTTTTATTTGATAATTGTGTGCTGATGTACAGGGAATGGAAGTAACTCGTTACTTGTAACGAAGTTACAGTTACAAGTCACTTTTTTGGTAACTTTACTGGTAACTGCGTTACTTTCTTTTTTTGGTAACTGTAACGGTAACGAGTTACATTTTTTGGGTAACGGTAACGAAATTTACAGTTACTTTTATTTTTCGTTTGGTTACTTCTGAAGAAGACTCAATCCACGAGTCGAAACATGTAAAGTTTTATAGATTTTATGATTAAGCCTTTTTTTATTTTTGTATTAAGTTTGTTCTTGTTTTTTCATATTTATGTATATTTTTATATCTTCGAATTTAGTCTTGTTTTTTATGTTAATTTATATTAATTTATTTTATCTTATTTTTACTATGTGATTAAAGAAATTTTTAATGTTTTGACTCTTAATTTGTCTTTTTAGTTTCTATTTATATTTGAAACACTTTTATTCAAAAAACGGTGTTTGTAAGACAATTGTACGTATCTTATATTTTGTATTTCAGCGGGGTACATAAAAATGTTTTATATTTCATAAGTATATAAAATATTATTCTGTATTTTGTTCTCTTATATCAATATATATAATGAAAGATTGAAAATATTTGTATTTTGTATTTCAGCAGTGCACATGAAAATATTACATATTTTGTATTTAAAATTAAAAAATTGAAAGTTTTATGTATTTCGTAATTTAAATAATAAGATTAATTGTCAATATTTGTATTTGAATTACAAAAACTATGTTTAAATAAAAGTATTTCAAATGTAATACATGCCCAACTCTGAATCTATTAGAGATTATGTAAAATACACAGTTCTAATTGAAATCTGTTATTTCTTATTATTATTGTTTGTGCTTTTCAGTCGTGTCTCAGGTTTAAAGATATTCCTTAAGATACAACTTAGTACTGTGTATATTGGCTGCGTTTAAAAGAAAAAACAGTTTTACGATTAGTATAAATTTCTTTAACGTGATTGGTCCTGTCCTTAGTTTTTCAATGAATTTAAATGTATAAGGGCCAATTTTACCAACCTAACCAACAGTTAATTCCAATGGAATTATCCAATCGCATTTGTCTTTGACCAGGATGAACCAATCACGGTTGACACTTTAACCGGTTAGCTTAACCGACGTTGGTGAAATTGGCCCTAAATTATAGGTCCGTTTTTTGTTCCTGCATTGTCTGAACTAGTGCACATGGTGCAATAAGTTAAAATGAAACAAACGTATATTTGTTTCGCTTCAACTTATTGCACCGTGTGTACTAGTTTAGACAGTACAGGAACAAAAAACAGATTCTATGTTAAAAAATTTTACAATAGTTGCAAAGCTGCTTTTTCTGCTAAACACAGCTACTCTCATTCAAAATAACTTTAACTGTAGTGCCATCTGTTTGTTCATTCAGGAACACCGAAAGTAGTAAACTTTCCTACAGTGCCATCTGTTTGTCCAAAAACACAGAAAGTAGTAAACTTAGGGCTGCGCACAATGGAAGAACAGATATTAGATATTAAAATATTAACCTATCAGATACCAGTTACACCGGAATACACAATTCTGATAGGTTAATATTTTAATATCTAATATCTGTTCCTCCATTGTGCGCAGCCTTACGTGTCCATGTGGAGGTGGTCCTGGTGGCACAGTCAGCACAGTATCTGTGCTGGTGGTCTCTCTATTCTTCATTGCAATAAATATCGCAATATGCGTATAGAAACGTGTTATTTCTGTTCATCTCGGATATATCCGGGACATGGAATTCAGTTTGTAAGGAATGATTGTAAGGTGAGAGCCGCATATTTAATCTAACATTAAATAACACAATGAACTTGTAGAGTAACGGAATATCACGTGTGTTGTATGTCAAAGTGAGGTTATATATTTTGTATACATTTTAGATGTAAAGATAGATTATAAATCCTTTATGCGATTGATTTTTTACATCTTGTGCTTTTTGCGAAATGTGAAAATTAAATCTCTTTGAAAAAAATTATTTTCGATTCTTAACAATAGTAATTAAATTTTTGATAATTTCTGATTGTTTCTGTTTGTCGAAATGATATTATTGCATTTGTAAATTATCAAAAATAATCAAAAATGCCAATATGAGCCGACACTGGATGATAATGTGTATGATAATATTTCTTTATTGTAATTAGATATATGTTTCAATCTCTGCTTAAGATCCTCCTAAGTACATTGGAAAGTTTAAATATTAAAAGATGTAGTAAAATGTGAAGAATTACATACATAATAAGTAATAATGTCCAATAGTCTAAACTTGTTCACTAAAGTGCTCAATTTAAAGTGCTCAGTCTAAATGTTAACTCGTCTTCATTAAATTGAGCACTTTAGTGAACGAGTTTAGACTATTGGACATTATTACTTATTGGGTATGTAATTCTTCACATTTTACTACATCTTTTAATATTTAAACTGTCCAATGTACTGAGGAGGATCTCAAGCAGAGATCGAAACATATATCTAATTACAATAAAGAAATATTATTATACACATTATCATCCAGTATCGGATCATATTGGCATTTTTGATTATTTTTGATTTATTCTTTTGAGCCTTTAATTATTATTTAATTTGTAAATTATGTTATAGATATTCAAGTTCTGTCGCTCAAAATGTCACGCAGCATTCAAAAAGAAGAAGAATCCTAGAAAAGTCAAATGGACCAAAGCCTACAGAAAGACTGTTGGCAAAGAATTGACCGTAGATCCATCGTTCGAATTTGAAAAGAGGAGAAATGTACCTGTCAAATATAATAGAGAATTATGGAATAAGACTGTAGAGGCAATGAAAAAGGTAGAAACTATCAAGCAGAAGCGACAGAATCTACACATTATGCAGCGATTACGCAAGGGAAGAGAAATCGAAGAGGAGAAAGATCAGAAGGAGGTGCAGCGTGATTTATCTCTCATTTATTTACCAGCCGCTGGTCTCAAACAAAGGAGAAAGCAAGAAGAGGCAGCCAAAGAACAGGAACAGATGCAAGTAGATGAAGATTCCAACAATGAACTTGAAACCGAGGCAGTGGAAGTGAATTAGATTGTTGTATATATTTCATCTTAATATCTTACACATTATTTCCACTGTGTTAATAAATTACGAGTTATAAGTTACAATAATTTTATATAGATACATCAATTTTTAACAAACTAATGAAATTATGCAAAACTTTCATAAGAACAAACAATTACAAAATTAAAACGTTTTTTAACTTCATTTCCTTTATTTATTATTTTTTAATGCCAAGTGTGACAAATAAAAAATCATGTTTAATGATATTTATTCTCTTCCTTTTTATCGAAAGTTCGAGTTTCAAACTTTAAAAAGATTTCTATAGATGGAGCTACTAGGGCAAATCGTAAGCAAACTGAAATGTATTCGGTTTTACGCGCGATCTATAACAGACAGAAACCTCTGTCTACAGTCTAGTTTAATCTATGGATTAAATGTCAACCGTGATTGGTCAATTCTGCTGAACAGTAAATGCGATTGGTCAGTTTCAATGTAACAATTAGTCGATTAAGTTAAATAGAGTTGATGAGACCGAACCTATTCATTAGATCTGTTTTATAGCCGTCCATGCATTTTGCAAAAAAACGTCGATATGATATTCTTGTCGTTAGGAACATTGTAATAAGAATAAATAATGTTTTCCCATTATATCACATAATTATACAATAGGCGTATATTAAAGCTGCAATATCCGCGTCCCAAGGTTTCGACTGGTTTCGATATTAATCGCCTGGTATTGTGCACGAGCATCGTTTCTCTTTCCATTTTTGCTATGTGTTAAATATGTAATTACAGAATCGATAATACCCATCTGATAATTGCATACTGTATTGTATAGAATAACTCAGACAATACGTAGCATTTATTGTGTGTATGGATCTTTTGTCATCATAAATAAAAGAGAGAAAATGGAATTTTATTGTGTAAAAAGACAATTCAATGTGATAATTACAAGACAAATTTACAATACAACTTTGAGAATATTATAACGTATAAAAGAGTGACTTATAAAAACTAACTTTAATGTATTTTTAGAAAATCTTAAAAATATTTTTAAGATATTTTTTGGACTTGTTTCAAATGTATATAAAAAATATCCATTTTAATTTATATTGTAATAAATTAAGTGGGATTTCTAATGTAATATTTCTATCAATATAGATTAACTTTCTAATTCTTAGAACTAGAAAATGATAAAAAGTAAGTAAAACCCAGATTAAAGTTAATCTGCATTAGTGGAAATGAACATAACATAGTGCTTTTTCGTCCATTTCTCTTAATAATGTTTAAATGTTTATATTACAAAACAGCATATTGAACATTTGAAGTCATGCTTCTGCTTTCAAAAAGTAATCGTGATGTAATGTAGTTGTGTAAGCACATCACTGCAAAGAGATATTGTTTGCTGCCACATATTTTCATATTACTTTAAGGTTGAAACCGATAAAATAACCCCGCTTTACTCCAAGTGTTTCTCGTGAATAGAAAAAGAGAGAGGAGACGAGCAGAGTCTCTCGTATTTAAAATTTCTCAGCGGTCACACTACAAACCGCGTGCATCGCTTCTTTTACGACAGAACACGGGCTTTCATAGGACCTGCACGTCGCCGAGGTGCGACCGCACCTCGATGACACTGTAAACACTCGCAAGGTGTTTCCAGCAATTACCAGGCAAACCACGGCGCAATGTTTGCCCGCGAGCGAAAAGCCTTGTAGAACGCGCCCAAAAGGGAGCACCGCGACAGGTTCGGGACGGCACTCGTATTACGCGTACAAAAAAATATTTTCACTGGCGTGAGCTTGCAGATTCCGAGGAGGAGGACGCGCCGCGACCGATCCCTTTGACGAAAAGATTTTTTGTGAGATTCACCGACGCGACGTGGACATTTAAAATTGAAATCACCTGGTAACGCGACACTGATGGGCTTCGGATCGATTGTAAACGACAGCTGGTGACATGTTTCTTTTCGTATGTTGGAAATATGTACGATAAATATCTGCAGGTACCATCACATAAATGAAAATGTCAAATTTTATGCACAAAAACTGAATTAATCACAAAAAAGATTTCGGTTTTTTGTTAAAAATTTATAATTTTTTTTAATTTAACGCGATTATATAATTAAATGAAATTTCTAACGTCTATTTCTATCAATGTAAATTAACTTTCTAATTCTTAGAACTAGAAATAATAAAAAGTAAATAAAACTCAAAGTAAAGTTAATCTGCATTAGTAGAAATAAACATAACATATAGGAGCAAGGCTTTTTCATTCATTTTTCTTAATCCATAGATTATCCAAAATGTGAAGATTTATTTTGCAATGTTGTTAGTATGCTTGTCATACACCATTTTTTATTTTCTATCCATGACAAGCATACTAATAACATTGCAAGATTACTAAGATTAGTCTATCTGTAACCTTTCCATTAAATTTGGAAATTAATACACGTTTTGGACAAATTTCTGAACACGATATATAACGTTTGATTAAGATTGACATTCTTACAAAAACTTTTATTCATTCTTTTTTTACAACAATCAAACAACTTCGTAAATTGCATATTATTCAATGTCTTACGTGCATATCGTTATTATAATTATGTAAAAATTTTACTTTATCTCTATTTGATGCAAATTACTGAAAAAGATCCTAACCGTAGATCGAAACGTTTAATTGTTTGCACAATAAAAAAAAATGTCCGCAACAATATCCTACGTTTTGGCTCTTATACCATAAAGGCTTTCTTTTTTTAATTTCTAAAATATAACGATTAAATAGCTTGTAAAAAAAATAAAATAATTGAAGATTTACAGCGGATAATAAAAAGGACAGAGCGAAATTTTTGGAATACACGCTTCTTACGACGTGTGCTGCACGCAAATATTAAATACGTCATGTGTGAACGATTTTCAAGCGCATCTTTTTCGAGTGTTTCTTGAGAATCCTTCGAAGAACCGCGTGTGCGCGAAGATTTTGTACGGAACCTGAGCGAATGAAAAAAATGCTTTTGGCCGATGGAGCGTCGGTGTTTGTTAAAGAAACAACATCAGAGTACATACATACGTATTGCAAATCGTGATACAGCTCATATGCGGCCAAGTAACAAAGAAAAACGCGTCATTATTGCATCTACTTAGATCGATTGATCAATAGTCCTTCTCACGTGTAACACATCTGATAAAGCCATTCTCATGTCGAACAATACCTTAAGAACGATCGTTTTATTGCGTGAAAGGTAGTTAGGTATATCTTACGATAAAGAATTTCTACTTTATTTGTTAATTAGCGCGCTAACGTGTAAGATATTTACATTATTACATCTTCAAGAAGAAAATTTGTAACAAGTTCAATTCATAATGTCAAAAATAATATCCAATTTTAGTTGTTTTTAAGTTAAGTTTTAAGTCGCCACTGTTCTTTCTCAATACGTTGTTAATTTAACTAAGACAATGCAGTTAAATTGACAATAAAACAATTTAACTCAAGAAAATACATTAATTAAAATTTAAAAACTAAAAATATTAATACAATATCAAATTATCTGACTCTTACAATTTAAAAATCAATATATAAGAACTTATGTATTCATGTAATATACATTGGTATACAGGCAGATAGAGTCAAAGAGTTGGTTATAGTTTAACAATATACATACAATACTAATTTGATTTCGAACAATTACGAACAATTCCGGACGTTTCGACAAAAGTTTCTTGTCATCTTCAGCTATGATGTTATATAATATTCATGTTTCGATTGAGATTAGGATGTCCAAGCATAAGCACAACCCTCGGCCAATGAAGTTCTTCAGCTTATTGGTTACGATATTGTTGTCTGAATTAACATTATTATTTAAAATAATTTTTCAAAAACTAATATATAAAAATTGTAAATAATTTTCCATAGAAACAATATGTATAATTGACCAATTATTATGCTTACCCTCAGATTAACGTAAGAAATATTAGCATATGTAAAGAATATACAGTCTCCTTCACAATCAACATTCTCATTATTATGTTCAAATATATTAATTAAACAGTATTACTTTTTGATCCAACAAATAATTTCAAATGCAAATTAATTGTGTCATGTTATTATGACGGCTCTATCTAAACTGAGATAAAGAACTTTGTCCATATGTGATATGACTTTCAATTTCTATTATTGCTTTTGTCATTATTTATTAAATCTATGTATGTTTTGTTTAGTAGTTCTGTGCCTGTTTTTAAATTTAACCCGTTAGACTGTTTTTTGATAAAAATCATTTCTGATATTAAGCGTTTATTATAAAATCTTTCTTCATCTAAAACCGATACATTTTCCCAATCAAAATCATGATTTTTTGTTTTTCTATGTTCTGAGATGACAGAAAGAGATGCAGAATTACTTTGTAACTGTTTTTTGTGTTCCTCAATTCTAGTTTTTAATTTTCTTCCTGTTTGTCCTACATATGAAGCGTCACAATTGTTACAATCAATTTTATATACGACATTCCTTTTTTGTTCGTTATTTAATTTATCTTTATGAACTTTGATAAATTTATTGAGTTTATTTAAGCTATAGTAAGAAACTTTTTGATCTATATTATTTTCAAATAAATTTTTGAATTTATTGGCTGTCTCTTTTATGTATGGAACACAAAACCATTTACATTTATCTTTTTGTTGTACTTCTTGCATATTCTCATTTCTGTCAGAATTTAACTTGACTTTGCTGAATTTATCTATTAAACATTTTATTCTTTTATTTATATTTTTAAATATGAAATTTACTGGATAGTCATTTTGTATTAAAATTTCAATTATCTTATTCAGATTTTTACTGTGAAAACTTGGATGAGAAAGATAAAACACTTTATCCACTAAATTAAATATAATACCTCTTTTTTGGGAAGCTTGGGAAACAACTCTTTGACTCTATCTGCCTGTATACCAATGTATATTACAAAAATACATTAAATTTACTCAAATTTAGTTTATTATTTATCACGTGCATGTTAATATGGATGTTGTTTACTTTGAAACTAAAAATACAGAAATTGATTAATTTATATTTTGACATATATAGAGTTTAAAAAAATAACAAAATGTGAATGCAAGGGATTAAGTTATTATTAGGTCTGTTCGCGTTGCATGAAATCCCCAAATAATTTTGCACTTAA